AAAGTCATAAAGCTAATGTTCTACACTCTGGTATAGTAATCTAGAGCCTTAAAAATTTGCAAATAGTTATGTAATATACAACTACTAGTCTCCCCCTGTCTGCTGTAAAGGTGAATGAAGACAACTAAAGATTTAAGAAACCAATTAGTCCACAAACTGTTCTAGCATGATACCAGAAAAACTATATGGTGCCTGGTACTAGTATCAAGCATTCTAACCAGGAACAATACAGAAGAGCTCAAGAAGAAGAAAAGCAAAGTGCTGAAGGAAATTCTAATTCATTAAAAAAAAACACACACACAGCCCCTCTACCCCAAAACCCACACATACTGGGCTGAGAAAGGCTAAAGTGATCTTGGAGACTATGGACCTGAGAAAGAGAACCTTTTAACCTGGAATTGCCATTCGCAGAGATCACTGTGACAGCCAAATAATAAATAATGCCTGTGAAGAATGTGCTCCTTTAAATAATCAACTATATGAGACCAAAACAGTCAACATTTACCCAAAAGAAAAGATGAGAAGGCAAGGAGGGGTAGGAAATCTGGTGAGTAGAAAAGAGGCAGGCAGAAATGGTAAAAGAGTGCTGGCAGACTGCAGTGACTATAACTAATGTCAGAGAACAATCTTGTTACAAATTGTTAAATGGCTCTTTCCTTCCGTGCTTTCTACGGAGGTGGTTGTCAGCTGCCACTGGCATAATGGCTGCCCTCAGACCCCTGGTGAAGCCAAAGATCGTCAAAAAGAGGACCAAGAAATTCATCCGCCACCAGTCAGACCGTTATGTCAAAATTAAGCGTAATTGGCACAAGCCCAGAGGCATCGACAACAGGGTTCGGAGAAGATTTAAGGGCCAGATCTTGATGCCCAACAATGGTTACGGGAGCAACAAGAAGACAAAACACATGTTGCCCAGTGGCTTCCGCAAATTCCTAGTCCACAATGTCAAGGAGCTGGAGGTGCTGCTGATGTGCAGCAAATCTTACTGTGCTGAGATTGCGCACAATGTTTCCTCCAAGAACCGCAAAGCCATTGTGGAAAGAGCAGCCCGGCTGGCCATTAGAGTCACCAATCCCAATGCCAGACTGCGCAGCGAAGAAAATGAATAGAAAGCTTGTTCGCACATTTTATTTGTGCTAAATAAACCATAAAAACTGAAAAAAAAATTGTTAAATGAGAAGCTAATTTATGGTATAAACTTTCACCTAAAACTCCATTAAAAAATAGTAACAAAAATACAACTGATACTCAAAATGGATCAATGAATAATCTAACAATAGTATAAAGATCTCAGAAGAAAACAGAAGGGCAAAGCTTCAAAATCTCATTTTCAACTGTAGATTTTTTCATATAACAATAAAGGCATAAGCAACTATAAAAAAACTCAAAACACCCAATACTGAATTAACATAAAAACTGTTCTACATCAAAGAATTTTATCAAAAACGAAGAGTACCTACAGAATGGGAAAACTTATTAAGAATATATCTATTAAGAATTTACTATCCTGACTATATAAGGAATTAGTACTACTTAGCAAAGAAATCCCAAACTACCAAATGAAAATTAAGGAAACTTCAAGAGACATTTCTCCAAGGAAGATACACATACAAATGGCTGACAAGCAAGGGAAATTTTCTTTTAAAAAAAGAGAAAACACATCCAACCTAATCAGTCATTGTTAAGTACCATCGAGTTGGAACTGACTCATAGCTGACCCTCCAGTAGGTTTTCATAGGAAGTAAAACTCATGGGAGTTGACTATCCAGTCTTTCATGGTGAAGCTGGTGGATCTGAACCATGTACCTTTGGGTTGGCAATTTTTTTTATCACTAAGCCACCTTTTCAGTCTATATGCAGAACAGATTATCCGGGCGGCTGGGCTGTATGAGAAGCGTGGCATCAGGATTGCAGAAAGATTAATCAACAATCTGTGTTATACACATGACACAACTCTGCTTGCTGAAACTGAGGAGGACCTGAAGCACTTGTTGCAGAAGGTCAAGGACTGCAGCCTTCAATATGGCTTGAGGCTCAATATCAATAAAACAAAGATTCTCACTACTGGGCCAGTTGGCAGCATCCGAATGGATGGTGAAGAAATAGAGATTGTTAACACCTTTAGTCAGCTTGGCTCCACAGCCAACACTCTTGGCACCAGCAGCCAGGAAATTAAAAGACATATTGTGATGGTAAAGTCTGCTGTTAGGAACCTCTCCAAAGTACTAAAGAGCAATGGTGTCATTCTGAAGACTAAGGTGCACCTGATACAGGCCATGGTCTTTGCAATCACTTGCTTTACGTCAGAGAGCTGAACAATGACTAGGGAGGATAGAAGGAGAATTAATGCCTTTAAGCTGTAGTGTTGGAGAAGAGTATTGAATATACACCATGGAATGCTAAGAGAATGAACAGGTTCATCCTGGAGAGAGTGAAACCATTCTGGAGAGGGTGAAACCAGAGTGCTCCATGGAGGCAAGGATGATTCTGAAGCTTCGTCTGAACATCCTCTGGACATGCAGAAAGGAGGGACCAGGTCTTATAGAGGGATGTCATGCCTGGGAGGGTTGAGGGACAGTGCAGGAGAGGACGACCCTCTATGAGATGGAATGATTCAGTGACTGGGGTAATGGGAGTAGGTGTGTCAGAGACAGTAAGATTATCAAAAGATAGAGCAGGGTTTAGGACTGTTGTACATAGGGTTGCTATGAGTTGCACGCAAGAGAGCACATAACAACAAAAACGATGAGCCACCAGAGCTTACCAGTCATTAGGGAAATGCCAATCAAAACTAAAATGAGGTATGACTTAGGGTAACTATTATCAACAAAGAGCACATGTTAGTGAAGAAGTACATTAACTAAAAACTTGTACCCTGGTGGTAAGAATGTAAAATAGCACAGATGCTATGGAAAACACACAGCAGGGTGGTCCTCAAGAACACAAAATTAACAGTAAGACCCTTAAGAAAACAGGCATAACAATGGTTAACGTGCTCACAGCTCATGTGTGAAAAACTGACAGTTCAAATTCACCCAGTGGCTCAGCAGGAGAAAAGATCTGGTGATGTGCTCTCCTGTAAATATCAGTGCCAGGGTCACTAAGAGTTGAAAATTCACTTGACAGCACCTAGTAACAATAACCATAAGACCTTGAAAATTATTCTCATAGGTGTAAACACTCTCAAAAAACTTGAAAGCAAGTACTCAGACATATATTCATACACTAATGTTCAGTGCAGTATTACACACAATAGTAAAAAGGCAAAAACAATCCAAATGCTAACAACAAGTGAATGGATAAACAAAATTTAGTATATACATATAATGGAATACTATGAAGCCATAAAGAGAAATGAAGGCATGATATATGGTGACATGTGTGGACTTTGAAAATACTATGTTAAGTGAAATAATTCTGAAACACAGGGACATAACATATCACTACACATACAGCAAACGCTTACAGACAAGGAGCTAAGGAAAACACCAAGAACTACTTTAAGGGTACAGAGTATCTATTTGGACAATGAAAAATAGTGATGGGGAATGTAAATTATTGTCACTATTTTGTACCCCCCCAAAATGGCAAAAACAGGCACATTTTGATATATAAATCTGACCACAATAAATTCTTTTTAAAAATAATACACATTTCAAATTAAGATAAATGATAAAATATATTTACAGTCACCAATAATATGGATACTATTGAATCATGGCATTAAGTACAGTTCTTAAATAGTGCTTTTGCTCTGAGGACCCTGTTGACTCTACCCTGTGTGGTCAGAGAATGAACTCTTCCAGCCATTTGAGTCCCTTAGCCTCAAATTATAAGCCGAGGAGGTGGGATAACCTGGCCAGTTCACAGGCAGGTTGAGAACACTACATGAGGTTAAAGCCTCTAGAAAAGTTTCTGGTACACAGAATTCATGTTATTGTCTCTCCCCTAGGTTTGATATGAATAGCTATGGTTTTAAAATGAACTCAGAGAATAGATAAAAGATGTTATTTTGCTTTCAAATGTTAAAATTACATTTACATTAAAAATTATTATATAGATCCATCAAATTAAGCTGAAAAGCTAACTACCAGTATTCCAAGAAAAGGAAATAGCAAATGAGAAGAGGATATACCCAGTGCAATGCCATTTTCAGGACATATCTAAAACAAAATTATAATTTCCAAGTGGTGGAAATAATTAACTGCTATTTTTTCCTATACTCTGTAATGTCTGAAGTTTGTTTTAGGAATATTTCTTTTATAATTTCAAATTAGAAAAAATTCTGATTGAATATATTTTGTTTGTTGTTGTTATAACTAGCTGGGGAGAAAAATATATTTTTGGAGAAACGAACAGAATTTGTTTAAAGGCACAGAAAAAAGTTAAAGTGCACTACTTTTTGTTTCTCTTAAAAAATGTAGTTTAAACAAAAGAAAATTACTTCACTAATTAAAAAAACAAATGTAAGTGCTACTGGGGCAGGAATTTTATCTGTTCACTTACATTCATTACTATACATCTCCAGGACCTGCCATAAAAAATAAAGTTTACCTCAACATTAAATTTCATTGGTTTATATCACTTGAATATTGCTTAATCATCTTTAATCTCAACAGCCATAACACATATAGTCATCAATTCAAACGTTTGTCAAATAAAGAAAAAAGTAACACATTTAATAAAAATTCTTTTCAAAGCTATAAAGTCAGTAGGAACTTGATCAGCATTACTTTTAAGATAATGTTAACTTAGTAACATCGAAGAAACAAGGGTATATTATTATTTCTAGATTTTATTATGTGATTTGATACGGTAACAATAAAAAAGATATTCATTTTTAATCAGGAATGAATATAAATTAATAGTACAGTAAACATATAAAAATTATATTGCTTGTTTTTAAAATGTATAATAAAAAAATATAATCAAGGCCTATGCAGCCTAGATCAACAAAGTAATTAAAACTCCTTGTCCAACAACAAAAAAAGCAGACCTACCTTGGGCCTCTTGGACCTTCCAAGTAACTGCTTCTGGGAGGATCTGGAAGCAGTCCACCTGACCTCACTGGCATGTCCTTGACTGCAGATGAAGCAAGTGAAGATTCCCCATGTCCTTGCTCAGATGAGAACGGGCTGTATGATGGCGTAGACTTATTCAGAGGAGCTTTAGAATTCACTTGATCTGATGGACCCATAGCTGACTGCATTGGAGGATGGTAAGTTGAGGGTGGGGCTGAACCAAAAGATACAGGAGTAGGAAGCAGTGCTGGTCTAGGTTTCTCTGGAACTTGGGAGCTCTGAGAACTGGAAGCCGATGGAACTGAGGTTGCAGTTAACTGAGGTATGCCAGGGGGAGGTATTCCTGGAGGGGGTGTGGCTGAAGACAACGGTGGGAGAGGCATAACAGGAGGTGGTGCTGCTGAAGACAGAGATGGTGGGGGTAGAACTGGAGGCGGCCCTGTGGAAGAAAGGGAAGGTGGAGGAAGAACCGGTGGTGGTCCAGCTGAAGAAAGCGATGGAGGCATCCCTGGAGGGGGCACAGAGGTTGGAAGAGAAGGTGGCATCACAGGTGGGGGCATGCCTGGTGGTGGCACAGAAGTAGGCAGGGCTGGGGGCATCACTGGAGGTGGCAATGATGGCGGCAGTACCGGAGGGGGCATTGTTGGTAGAGGTGGAGGCATCAGAGAATATGGAACATAAGGAGGTGGCATTGACATGTTCCCCATATACTGATTCTTCATGTTTTGAAATGAATTGACTCTTTCTTGAAGGTAGTTCTGAGAGGCTTTCATATGTCCCTGCCATGTTTTCCACTGTTTCTCATACTCCTGAAGCTGATCTTTATGAGGATAAGAATGGAGTTGTTCCTCCCACAGCTGAAACTCTCGTTCCCATTCTTGGTAGAGATGCTGAAACTGTTGCTGCTGCATTTCGTAGTGACGTAACTGCATATCCACAGACATAGTCTACAAATAGAGATAAAAATTATTTTCAAGACATTTGATTAAGAGAATTAATCACAAGCTAAAAATTTAAGACATCCGATGCCTTAAGAAATCACAACACTAAAGAGGTTAGGTTAAGAAATCACTTAACCTAAAGAGGTTAAGAATAAATTTGTCAAATTCTTTCAATGATCATTTTCCTCTTTCTTTAACTTAAATTTATCTTATCACAGAATACAAACACAAAAGCAAATACCTACCTCCACTGCGAGTATTTTTTTAAGTGTTTACTATTACATGGAACCATTCTGAGAACTTGTAAAGTGATCCATTCTTACAAATATATTATTTTAAAGTACAACACAAACAAGTATCCAAGCCATCTATATTTTTATAATGTATTTATTAAGGGTAGTGTGTTGTTAATGTTGTTGTTTAGTCTTTTCAGTGGATTATTTGCTTAATTATTGCTATAGTGATTTGTATGTGAACAAGAACTTAACTTGTAGCCAGTAAAAATCCTTAGTTTTTAAATCCCCTATGCTGGAGACAAAAAGGTGAGGGAAAATGGTGTTGCTTTCATAGTTAAAAAAGTCATTTCTAGATCCATCTTGAAGCACAATGTTGTGAGTGACAGGATAACATCCACACACATACAAGAAGTTCAGTGAATACCACTATCATTCACATATAAGCACCAACAATCAGAGCCAAAGAGGAGGAAAGATAAGATTTCTATCAACTTTTGCAGACAGAAATCGATCAAACATACAGTCAAGATGCATTAATAATAATGGGTAACTGGAATGTTAAAGTTGGGAACCGAGAAGAAGGATCAGTTGTTGGGAAACATGGATTTTGTGACAGAAAGGAAGCTGGAGATAGAATGATAGAATTCTGTACAATCAATGATTTATTCATTGCAAATATGTTTTATAAGAAAGATAAACACAGGCTATATACATGGATTTCACCTGGGAATACATTGGAAACAGATCAATTAATCTGTGGAAAGAATTGCTGGAGAAGGTCATTATCAGCTGTGAAAACTAGGCCAGGTGCTGATTGTGGAACAAACCACCAACTACTCATATGCAAGTTCAAGTTGAAACTAAAAGAAAAAAAAAAAAAATTTACATCAAAGCCATAGGAACCAAAATTTGACCTTGAGTCTATCCCACTTGAATCTCAAAACCATCTCAGAACAAGGTTTGACGCTTTGAACACTAATGAATGAAGACCAGATGAGCTGTGGGAAGATAATAAGAATATCATCCATGAAGAATGCAAAAGGTCATTACAAAGACAGAGGAGGAAGAAAAGACCAAGATGGATGTCAGACAAACTCTGAATATTGCACTAGAGCACAGAGAAACCAAGAAAAAGGGGAAAAAATCAAGAAATTAAGGAGCTGAACAGAAGATTTCAAAGGACAGTGCAGGGATATAAAGTATTATAATGTAATGTTCAAAGAAGCAGAGTCAAAAAACCAAAAGGGCCAAACTTACTTGGCATTTCCTAAGCTGAAGGAACTGAAGAACAAATTCAAGCCTCGAGTTCCAATACTTAAGGATGTTTTGGGCAGAATATTAAATGATCCAGGAAGCATTAAAAGAAGATGAAAGGAAGGAGCTTTGGTGGCTTAGTGGCAAGAAGCTGCACTGCATCCCAGAGGTGCGCAGTTCGAATCCACCAGATGCTCTGCTGGAAAAGGAGGGACAATTTCCTCCTGTACCAGTCAGATCTGATTTGACAGTACATGCATAAAAATAATAAAATAAATTTTTAAAGATTATTTTTAAAAAAAAAGATGATGAAAGGAGTATAAAGAGTCAATGTACCAAAAGGAACTGGCTGACACAGAATTTTATGAAACAATATATGAACAAGAACTGGTGGTGATGAAGGACGAAGTTCAAGCTGCTCTGACTGTAAGAGATCTGTATTTGTTCCCATTCCAAAGAAAAGTGACCCAACAAAGTGCAGACATTATTGAGCAATTATCATTAATATCACATGACAGCAAGATTCTGCTAAAGATTATCCAAAAACGACTGGAACAGCACATCAACAGAGAACTGTCAGATGTGCAGGCTGGGTTTAGAAGAAGGCACGGTACTAAGGATATTATAGCTTATGTCAGATGGATCTTGGCTTAAAACAGAGTGTACCAGCGGCGAGCAGCTGAGGCGGCGCGGAGAGGCGCAGCAGAGGTTTTGCTGGTTTCAGACCCCAGCGGCCAGATGGTGAAATCCTCCCTGCAGCGGATCCTCAACAGCCAGTTTGGCCAGAGAGAAAGAAGGGGATAAACCCAGGGCCACAGTCCTCACCAGCCACACCATGCCACTCCTCAGCTTGCACAGCCGCGGTGGCCACGGCAGCGAGAGTTCCAGGGTCTCTTCCAATTGCTGTAGTAACTTGGGTCCAGAGCCTCGGTGGTGCACCTGATGCCCCTCGCCTGCCCCTGAAGATCCCAGGTGGGCGAGGGAATATCAGAGGGATCACAATCTTTCAGCTAATTTATTTTACTCTGATAATCGGCTGAACTAGTGTCTAACGACAAAACGAGCATTCTTTTTTTTTTTTTTAGCCTCAAAAAGTGACATTTATTCAAAAGAGTGGGTGGGGAAGGAGGGGGGGAAAAAAAAGACAAGATGTCCATCCCTTGGCTCCCTTCCCTCACCCCTCCTGTTCCAGCCCTCCAGGATTGAACCCTGGGCCAGGGCTATAGCAGGACAGATGGCCCCTTTCAGATGAGGTCAGCAACACTGAGGGGCATTTCTTCAATGGAGGTGTTATAGAAGAAGACGAGAATTCTTAATGTCCAGTCCAGGCTCACAGATGCCAAACACATCACCTGGAGGGCTGTGCTCAGCAGGAGCAGCCTCTACGTTGAGCTCCCAGGTGGTGCCCTGCCGGAAGGGAGCAAAAACAGTCTGGCAGTTCTCTTTGAGTGTGCTGAGGAGCAGCTCCGCATGGACGTCTTCAAATGCTTCCATAGAAACCAAGATGACAGAGCCGCCTTGGTCCGGGACCTTCAGCTTTCTAGGCTTTGAGACTGTGAGACCAGGGCATCCCCTTGTCCCCAAGAAACCCGATGCCTGCTTCATGGTCTACACGCTTGAGAGATTCCTCCGGGAAGGACTAGTGGTCCCAGCCGCCATCACAGGAAGCCTGGTCACCCTAGGTGTCCCTCCTTCCTGGGTGTGTCCGCATGTTGTAATTGTGCAAGTAAATGCTCACTCCAAATTAGCAGTATATTTCTTGAAGTTTAATATTGTGTTTGTGATACTGAAGTATTTACTTTAATTCTAAATAAAGGTTTCTATTTTACTTTTTTATTGCTGGTGTAAGCTGATTAATGATTAAGATTACCCTGGGAGGAGGCCTTTCCTTCAGAAGACTCTGGCCAGGGCTCAGTGTGAGAGATAGGTGTTAACCTGCCCTCTGTTGCTCAAATCCAATAAAGATGATTCGCCTCCAGAAAAAAAAAAAAGAAAAACCAACAACAAAAAACCCAACAGTGTACCAGAGGAATGTCTGTGTTTTATTGACTATGCAGAGACATTTGACTGCATGGATCACAAGAAACTGGGCTAACTTTGAGAAGAATGGGAATCCCAGAACATTTGATGCGCTTATGTGAAACCTATACTTGGATCAGGGGGCAGTTGTCAGAACTGAGCAAGGAAACACTAAATGGTTTAAAATGGGGAAGAGTGTATGCCAGGGATGTGTCAAATCTCCATATCTTTTTAATCTATATGTGGAACAGATTATCCAGGAGGCTGGGCTCTAACAGGAGGAATGTAGCATCAGGATTGGAGAAGACTCATTAACAACCTGCATTATGCAGACGACACAACCCTGCTCGCTGAAACTGAGAACGAAGGACAGCAACCTTCAATATGGATTGAAACTCAACATCAAGGAAACAAAGATTCTCACCACTGAGACAATTTGTGGCATCACGATAGATGGTGAAGAGACAGAGACTGTTAACAGCTTCAGTGTGCTTGGCTCCACAATCAATACTCTTGGTACCAGCAGGCAGGCAATCAAAAGATGAATTGCACTGGTAAAGTCAACTGTCAAGGACCTCTCCAGAGTACTTAAGGGTAACAATGTCAGTTTGGATGGAGACTAAGGTACACCTCATACAGGCCGTGATTTTTGCAATTACTGGCTATGCGTCAGAAAGCTGGACAATGACTATGGATGATAGAAGGAGAACTGATGCCTTTGAGCTGTGGTGCTGGAGAAGAGTATTAACTGTAATATGGACTGACAGGGAACAAACATGTTTGTCCTAGAGAGGATGAGACCAGGCTGCTCCCTGGAGGCAAGGATTCTGAAGCTTCATCTGACATACTTTGGGTATGTTGCAAGGAGGGACCAATCCTTGGAGAGGGACATCATACTTGGAAGGGTGGAGGGACAGCCAAGAGAGGAAGACCCTTGATGAGAGTGACTGTGGTAAAAAAGGGTAGGTGTGTCAGAGGTTGGCACACAGGATGTTGTACATGGGGTCGCTATGAGTTGCAAGCGACTTAACAGCACATAATAACAACAATAACTGTATTCTATACCATCTAATCTAGCAATCCCACTACTAGGTACATATCCTAAAGAACAAAGAGATATATATATCTATGCCCATATTTACTGAAGCATTATTTATAATAACAGAGTTGGAAACAACCTATGTGCCCATCAATGTACAAATGGCAAAAAAATTATGGTTTATTCACACAATGGCATATTGTGTACCACTTAAAAGCAATCAAGAACTAATAAAATACAGCATAAATGGGTGAAATTAGAAAAAAATTATGTTGAATGCTGTAAGTGGACTACAAAAGGACAATCACAACATAAGATCATGAATATCAAAAACACTCAAGAAATTGTTTATATACAGAACCAATCCTGGAGGAAAAACTGAAATGACAATTTAAGGATGGGAGCAGAAAGAGAAAAAATAATTTAAAAAAACAAAACGAACAAAAAACAACCAAAAAAGTAGTGCTAATTAAGAGAAGTAACATAAATAGATGTCAGAGATGATGAGGATGGCTCACGATAGGACAGGACTCAGATCTGTTGTCCAAAGGGTCATTATGAATCATACTCAACTCAATGGCATATAACAACAATATCCAACTGGGACTGACAGAATTAGGAGACTCCATCATACCCTCCCCTCCTCAGTAGCATACACATTATACTATACTTTTCAAAGCTCCAAAGAATGAGACAGATAACTAGCCAGGTAGCCCCAGGGGAAAAAACTGTTAACACTTCAGTACTTCACATTCAAATGTCTTCCAAAAACAAGAAATCCTTTCAATTCCTTGATGTCAATTCCTCTATGGCAGCTGAGGAAGCACTTGCCTGTATATGTGGCGGCTGCTGGATGATCTGCTGGTACTGCTGCAGGATCTGCTGTAACTGAGTGTGCTTCTGCATGATTCCCTGATACTGGAAGCCCACTCGGTGCTGCTGGTGCTGCTGCCAATGTGCTGCTGCAGCCTGCAACTGTTTTAACCTGGCATCTTCTTCTGGGTCCTCAGACTAAGCAAAAGAGGAATTTATTTTTGCATAAACCATAAAACAATAATTTTCCAAAACCTAAGTATTTTTATAAATGTACTACAAAGTCCACTTTTCCCACATCTCTGGATAAATGAAACCAGTTATCTTTGGATAAAAGACTAGCCCTAACTCTACTACTATTACAAATACAAATGCAAAAGAGTTCGTAAACCCACGCTCCTCACTGAACAATAATCTCACCATTTTTAAGGAGAACAATTTCTCCATTTCTCCAGCAAAAATGTGATTCGACAATTATTATTTCTTTCACTTTATGAGAGGATTTCAAGGAAGGCTGCTGACAGAACATACTTTAACTGACAAATAGCACATTTAACACCCCAACTGCTCATTAAGATAGGTACTATTTTATTATGCTCATTGTGCAGATGAGGAGACTAGAGATTAGGATGGGAGTTTTGCCCAAGTTTAATCTAACTTTTGAAATTTAAATTTTATCTATCTAAGTCTGTTTAAAGTTACCAATAAAAGTGCTGCCTAGACCGTTGCCTGGGCTCCAGTCTGACTCTGAAACTCCTAACTACTGTCTGTTGTCAACAATGCTCAGAAACCATCTTAGCAGCCCTTAATAACTCTGAGTAGTTAAGATTTAGGGCATTATGTTTATCGTAAGAGTACGGAATGAGGGTTGCAGAGTGGATTATATTTGGGGTTGGGGGTGTGGTTGGGGGATGTGC